TTACCACAATTTATTTTTGGAACAAACTGTAGGTAACAGTGTAACGCATAGCTAACTGCATAAGATGATAAGTCAAGTCATGTACCTAAATATTAGTTGAATTGACAGTTATGTTAAGATTTGCCTGATTATGATAGCATGGTGGACGATGATGCTTAGTATACCTAGGTTAGCTAGGTACGGGTACCTAATAGTAGGTAATAGACCGCTAGATGCTAGGCCTACTCTCAGTCTGCCTAGACTAGACCCATTGCCACATTTTCTCCATCTCAATGCAAATGCAACAGGGGACAAGATCACAGCCTCACAGTCGCAAGGGTTGTGACGTTTGGGCATGTGGCTTGTGAAGTTGTGGCACAGTGTCATTGTGTGGCATCACTGTTATTGTCAACTGATAGTTGAAGTAAAAAATTTATCAAGTTAATATCAACTAGATGACAATAGTAAATCACTTTGTTAGGTTGTTAATAATTCTATAATGCTATTTAAAGATAATCGTAACTTTGTTGAAAGTTGAAACTTAGAAAGTTTCACTAAACTAGTCTACTAGGTTCATTTTTCAAATCATTTTGACCTTATGACCTAGCCAGTAGCCTAGTAGCCTAGTAGGACTAGGCATAGTGACAAACCAGAGATTTTTCAGAATCAGTTCATTTTTAATTTCCTCATTTACCCAAGATTTAAACTAATTTCTTATGTATGATAGTGCCGGTATCCAGGATACTTTACTGGTCTACTTATAGGATAATAGGACTCAAAAGTGAACTTGAGGGAGAGTCTAAAAAACTCTCTGCTTTGCCACTATGGGACTAGGGTAGGTAGGTAGTAGGTACTAACTTGGGTAAAGTAGAGTTAGTGGATAAAATTATTTATTGTAATTGTTATTCAATTTGTATATAATTTTTAGAATTTGATAGAAGTACCTAATCTATGAACAGTTGAACACTGAACAGGGTCAACTTGTCAAGAGGCACAAGGGCAGCTGAGTGGCTTATACCTACTCTATCATTCTATGATGTCAATTATTGTCAAAATAGCCTACCCAGCTTAGGCTATCTACCTAGGTATTTAAAAATCGAGCCTTCCTGAATTAGGATTCATTAAGGCTTGGTAATTATGGTAACCAGTAATCAGGATTCTTGATCACATCATTGGTTACCAATTTGAAAATGAATTTGAAATATTGAGCAAATAAGCAAAAATTTCCTGAAACTGCAGGTAAAAATGATTGTTTCACAGCAGGGTTGGCAATGATTAAATCAAAATGATTAAATCATGTGATTAAATCACATGATTTTTTTGATTTTTTCGATTTATTTGATTTTTTCATATATTTAAAAATATTGAGTGGCAGTCTTTAATTTATATTGAGGTATTGTTATTCATGGTTTAGTATAAATGTACTATGAATGACAAATTGGTATATAAACTTGTTGCCTTTAGTGTGTATTAGGTTCCAATAAATGGAATGTTTTTGGTACAGAGGCATCAAGAGTACAATACGTTGTATGTAGCTAGCAGCTTAGCTAATTCTTATAAGGCTATAAGTAGTCTTTAAAGCTATTTGACTATTTGTTATATATTGATTACAATATACAATTTAAATGTGTTAGCTAGCTTACACAGGGTGCGGCAGAAATGATTGAACAGTTTTGAGGCAAAATAAAAGAGTAATGGAGGTACATAAAGAAGAAAGTTTATTTTAATCATGATTAGCATAACATACCATTCAAAATACTTATGTTTTGAAAAAAAAAATATCAGGAAGATGGGGTTTGTTAGCTGCATCACACTGTTGGGAGTTGTTCTCGGAAGTTTCCTACAGCACGTTCGCACATATGGCGAGGTATGGCCATAACCTCTGCTGCAATAATTGTTCCCTTAGCTGCGGTAGGGTGTGAGGGCGACTTTTGAACACCCTTTCTTTTAGATGTCCCCAAATAAAGAAATCGCAAATGCTCAAATCAGGTGACCTCGCAGGCCACTGTAAATCACCCCTCAGAGTCTGGGAACATACATTTCAAAACATTGAGTGACCTTCGGGCTGTGTGAGCTGTAGCCCCATCCTGCTGGAACCACACGTCTCACAATGCTCCATTTTCAACAATGTTTTCCATCATGGGCTGCAAGAAATTTTGCAACATTGCAGCATAGCAATTGGAATTCACTGTCATGGTTACTCCCTCCTCTGAGAACGACTCCAACAGTGTGTTACAGCTAACAGCCCCCATCTTCCAGATATTGTTTTCAAAACATAAGTATTCTAAATGGTATGTTATGCTAACCTCTAGGAACATAAACTTTCTTCTTTATGTCCCTCCATTACTCTTTTATTTTACCTCAAAACTGCTCAATCAGTTCTGCTCCACCCTGTATATAGAGAGGTTGAGATTTTATTGACCTTTTAGGCAATTGGAAAGATTTTCCACCCTAATACGATTATTCTAATTAAAACTAGAAACAAAAGAATTACAATTACAAGACTATATATAAAATAATTAAATGCAGTGAATGGATATAAAATATTTGAATTGTGCACATGTTTATCTCAAACAGTGTTAGGCTGTTAGCTTTTCTCATAACTTAAGATAATTGTTTACCCAAAAATCCCTAAGTGGTAAACAGAACCTTGGCCTGTTGGCCATTATTGAAGGCAATAAGTGCCCTTTTTAGCCATCCATTATGATCCACATACTGTTATTGTCAGTAGGCTAATTTCAACATAAAAAACAACACTTCAAAAAGACAAAAAAGGTGAAAAAATAAAAAAAATCAAATAAATAAAAAAATCATGAAAAAATAAAAAAATCATTGATTTTTGATTTTTTTGATTTTTTTAAAAAAATCAAAAAAATCGCCAACCCTGTTTCACAGGCAATTTTGAAAATATCCTAGTAAAAATAGATGAATTCTTTTATTTTTCACTGAAGAAATTGAGAACAGATAATAGAAACAAATTAAATTGACCAGATTCAAGGTAGCTATTTTAGTCAAATTCACAGGTGGCTTTTGCTTAATTTTCCCCAATAGAGCAGTCTTTCTTTTAATAGCTTAATATTCAGCATAAAGTTTTGGATCAAGTATATAACCAAAACTTACTCATATCCCATAATAATATGGGATACCAAGCAACAATAACATTCTTATAAATGCACCCTAAATTTTACCAATGAAAATTCATTCAGTCAAGTTTTTTTTTTTAAATCTGTTTCAGACTGTTAGTGTGAGACAAGGTTAAAATATGTAAAATTATACTGCATTCAAGCCACATTTACGGTCACAAAAATATTGAAAGCACAACCTTCAGACAGTTGTTCAGAATTCACACCAAACTGTGGCTTAGAGATTACCTTTTTTTTCACATCCATTTGGCTGGATATGTAAATATATCATATGTGATGTCCCGCACCTTTGTTAAATATATTCTCATGTTAACCCTAGAAATTTTTGCACATGTAACTACACTATAGTTAAACATGTCTTATGCTTAATTTATATATATTCTGATGTTGACCCTCAAGATTTTTGCAATTGTTATTGATGCTATTAATGTGTAACTCTATCATTTTCATTCCTTATCTAATTTTTGCTAACAAGTTAGTAACTTGTAGTTACTTTATATGGTCCCAAAATTTGTCAAAAAAGCCCACATTGCCTGATTTGTATATCATGCTATATTATCATGTCTCTTCCTATTAATAATAATCTCTTTATCATTCCGTACATATATTTACTCTTTAGTCTTTACCATTACCAAAAATTTATACATGAGCAACTGAAGAACTGTTCTGGCTATTGATTTGATACTCTTTTGCATGTTCTTACAAGATGGAAGTATCGATATGTATATGTTCATTCATTAACAGTTACTTGATATTAAATAAAATCAGAGTTACATAGTAGTTTCTTGTTTCATTTGCATGTTAAAATTTAATCCCAAGTATGCATTTATAAGAGTTGTTTGTATTGTAAATATTATTTTCTTGTTAGAGCTACAAAAAAAAAAGAATTTTCTGCACATTTCCAGGTTTGCCTCCAAATTTTTTTACTTAGATGAATGGCGTGTACATGTAAATTAGGTGTTGAAAGCAAGGTAAAAATTCTGAATGATATGGTGTTGTAGTGAAATTTTTTAGAAAATTTCAGTAAGTTATTATGTTGAGAAATTTCGAAGACTTGCCAAATTCATTAAGTATTGTCATTCGATTTAGTTGATTTTTTCTGACTACATGAGATGTTGAAGGCCATGGAAATTGATCACTCCATGTAGAGCACATTTGGGGAAACATGTTTTGGTGACTAGCACAAGCACCTACTCCTGTTAGTCTCAACATCAATTATTAAGGCCCTCAACATTAAGGAGAGTACTCCAGCCATCAACCTTCCAACTACTGGATTTATCAGAGCCTTGATTGTTTGAAACATTGTTAACGAAGTAAAAACGTTCATCGGCATCCCGATTTTTGATTTACCAGTGCAAACAGAATATTCTTTGATATGTTTGAAAAACTTAGTAAGAAAATTATCAACAAAACAAATTCTCTGGACTTCAAGGAAACCTGCTTGAAGGAACAAATTCTGCCTACCTATACTAACATTATATTATGTACATTAATAGTTTTTTCTTACCTGATTGCTTCAAACACTCTTTTTCTTGACCTCTTTTTTACATATAATATAAGAAAGCTGATATAAAATCTTCAGAGCTTATGATATGATTTGGTTTACTAATGTTATGAAATCATTGATCATGGTCAAAGAAGTTGTGTAAACCAATTGTTGCATGCTGACTTGATAGCTTTTATATAAAATTATCAAGAACTTGTGGTGCAGGGTTTAATGAATTTTTAGAGATGAATGCTTTGTCTCTCCTGCTATAAATCATAAATTTTATTAGTATTGCGTAAGTTTACATGTACACGTTTCTCTTGGATATAAATCCATGTATTAAAATTCAAAGCATATTCACTAGTAAATGAGCTGTATTGTGTAACCTGCAGATCCACACATCCGTGTGGTCGGGACACCTGAGAATGTCTCCATAGCGAGCATGATGGTCCGCCAGCAGCTGGAGCCCCACAACAAGATCACCATGAAGATGGACGTGTCTTGGACTCACCACTCCCACATCATTGGTATGTTGCACTCCCACATCATTGGTATGTTGCTTCTATGGTCCTCTTGCTCTCTTGCACTACGGTATAGATAAAACGGCAGAATTATGCTGTGCTGTAACATCTATGTTGGTGTCCTAAATTGTAATTTGAATCAGTTGAATTTCAATTTAGAGGCAAAATAAAGATTAGATCCCATCAACATAGAGGGATTTTTATAGATTGTCTATACGACTTCTTTTTTAAATGCATCATTTTGTTGATGAATCATGAATATTTTGCTGATTTCCCACCAAACAGTAGCAGGACTGAATTTAAATTTCACTCATTCACAAATTTATATCTTCTCAGTGTTTCTGAATGGAAAGTAGTGTTCATTTCTTGCAGAGGAAAGGAAACTTGTGTAACTGTCGGTGAAAGTGCATCTTATGTTTTGATTTACTGGCACTATGAGAATGACACTTGTATCATTTGCAGGCAAGGCTGGCAACACCATCCAGCCCGTGGTGCGCCGTACGGGCGTTAGCATCCATTTCCCCGACGGCAACAAGAACAACGAGACGCGCAAGAGCAACCAAGTCTCCATCAACAGCCGTGGCGAGGAGCTCGGCGGTCTCGAGGATGCCCGAGCTTCTATTCGACAGCTCACGCCGCTTGTGTTTTCTTTCTCATTCAAAGCCAATGCAGATTTCATCGCGATCTCTGAGCCGAACGCTCTTGTCCAGCATGTGCAGGGTCTCTTCAATGTTCAGGTAATCTGCCACTTGGTGGCCATGTGCTGGACATGTGAGGAGGCAATGTCGCTTTAGCCAAGGGGCGCATTGTTGTCCTTTCATAGGGAGTGTGTCTATTTACTCCACTACGGTCTATTGATTGAGGAATGTTATCATAGATCTGCCATCAATCAAGATATTAGCATGCAAAGTTTTCCCTTTTCTTGCAAACAACAGTGAAGTCTTCTCATCAATTGTTTGTTGTTAATTTTTCAGCCCCTGGATGGAATTTTTGTCTAATTCTTCTTTGCATCTCATTCTATATGGGTTTTTCTTGAAGAGTAAAATAGAAATTAATCAGCTCTCAATTTAACTATAGAGAATGTTAAATGGAGTGTTGAATTTAGTGTTAACTATACTGTAGAGTATGTTGAACTCATCATAATATTGTGATGGCATTTATTTTCTCCTACGAAGTTAATTTTTTTCATAATATTGTATAAATCGCCAATGAGGACATTTGCAGTGGCATGGCGTTGCTGGGGGAAGTGAGCATCTGAGCATTTCCCCAACCCCACCCAATAAATGCTCAATAATTTAATCCATTGTCAAAAAGCGCAAGTGATCCTGTCATGATGTTGCAAGAATCCAATTTTTTTAGTTGGTTGGAAGTATATTATCAAATCCCAGGGCGTCTTATTTAGCACAGTTTCAGGAAATCCAAATTCGTTTTTCCATTGCTCTTGTCTGTACAAGGCCACTGCAGTGAACCTTGTACAGAAATTGCATTTCCCTGCTCTACACTGTATAAGTTTCGTGTTACGTGTTGAGCTGTGCCTTGAATGCTTCGTGCCTCACGTTGAGCTATTCGTGACAGTCTGCACAGATGTATTTTACATGCCCTCCATCGTGATGGTTTTGTGTTAGAATAAATACATTTTACATAGCTTCTATATTGCATGGTTCGTGTTGCAGGTGGAGCTGTGCGTGACAGTAGACGTGGACCCCCAGATTGTAGGCAGCGTGCGGGGCAGCGAGACAGACGTGACGCGTGTAAAGGAAGCCACGTTGACGCTCCTCCAGACCCTCTGTGGTCCCATCGCTGTAAGTAGCAGTGCGCGCATGAACAATATACGCGCTCCTATAACATAACATAACATAACATAGTGATGTCGGAGCTGAAGTGTAGGCCTGATGTGGCCTGTTGCCGATTCTTTTCCTTTTCGTGCCTTGTTCACAGAAGATCTAAAATCGTGTCATTTGACCGGATCTTTTCATGACTGACGATAGTTTGAAGTAGCTACTAGACTTCCACTCCTTCTACTAGACTTATGTTCATGTTATGAATAAACTTCAGCTGTTTATTTCTTCCCGCGTTTATATACCTAACATCTGTTATTTTGAGAGAACTTAATTTTTTTATCTTGGCAGTTGTGAAGTTATCGAAATTTTAATGCTTCAATTTTTCTAGTATCATTGCTCTGATCAATTAATAGACTGCTAAAATTTTGTTATGCCTTTCATTCATTTATCAATGTATTTCCTAAATTAAGAATATGGATTGATTTGGTGTTTAATATGCATCTTATTGACCTGTAGATCCTCATGTGCTGCTGTAAAATGAATTATCAGGCAATGTCTGCCGCAATGCCGACCCAACCTCTTCCGTGAGCTGAGACCTCAGCCGACGTGTGCCTAACTTGAGTGTTCAGATTAAACGATGAATTCTTATGCCAGTGATGATGAAAAAGTTAATTAATTGATAGTCCCGATACAGGAATTAAGCAGCATTTACACAATGAATAGCAAAGAAACGGTCATTCAATTTTTTTATTTATCATTACGTATTTAGCTAACACCACCTAGCTGGTGAACGCTACTAGTGTCCCTCTTTTAACTTGGTTTTTAAAGTTTAACTTGGTCTTTAAAGTTCGCTTGTTAATGAAAGTTCGACTTGTTAATGACAGTTTGACTTGGTAATGAAAGTTTGACTTGTTAATGAAAGTTCGACTTGTTAATGAAAGTTTGACTTGGTAATGAAAGTTCGACTTGGTAATGAAAGTTCGACTTGGTAATGAAAGTTCGACTTGGTAATGAAAGTTCGGCTTGGTAATGAAAGCTCGACTTGGTAATGAAAGCTCGACTTGTTGATGAAAGTTAGACTTGTTTATGAAAGTTCGATTTGGTGATGAAAGTTCGATTTGGTAGTGAAAGTTGGACTTGGTAGTGAAAGTTGGACTTGGTAGTGAATTGTTCGACTTGATAGTGAATTTTTCAACTTGCTAATGAAACTTCAACTTGCTAATGAAACTTCGACTTGCTAATGAAACTTCAACTTGCTAATGAAACTTCAACTTGCTAATGAAACTCCGACTTGCTAATGAAACTCCGACTTGCTAATGAAACTCCGACTTGCTAATGAAACTCCGACTTGCTAATGAAACTCCGACTTGCTAATGAAACTTCAACTTGATAGTGAATGATAGTCCTCGCAATTAAATCTCACCCTAATAACATTTACGTGTGTCGCAGAGCCACCTGAATGTACAGATGAAGGTGGAGGTGTCGCCGCAGCATCATTCCTTTGTGCTGGGCCGCAACAACGAGACGCTAAGACGCATCATGCAGAGCACTGGCACCACGTACGTACAGTGATACTCAGTGCTTACAATAACAACATTTTGGTTAATAACCTCATTTTGGTTAATAATAACCTCTTTTTCAATGTTTAGGCTTATTAAACTAAAGATTCTTGGCCACTGGTGTGTTCATGTTGGTTGTTACCATATAAAATCTTAATATGTTTGTGCTAGAATTTCCGTTCTAGTCAAATGATTTGCACTTTGTGCTTTTTGAAACGTTGTTGCTCAAACGGTTAATTTTAATATTCATAGCATGAATTTTTAGCGCATTTTCTCATTTATGGAAAAAAATGCACTATTGTGCTCGCCATGTCCATCTGTCTGTCTGTCCGTCCGTCCGTGACCTCAAGTTTTCGTCGACGAGAGAATGCGCTTTCTGTCACTCACTGCAGTGAGTACTGAGTTATATATTTTTTATATTTATCCCTGATGCACGAGTCTGCCTTGTGTGCAGGATCTGTTTCCCGGACTCGAACGACACAGACCTGCCGCCGCTGCAGCGCAGCTCTGTCGTCATATCAGGCGCCATCGATAACGTCTACGCAGCGCGACAGAACATCATCGTGAGTCCGCTAATTTTATTCATATTATATGAACCTTTATTGTTTTTATTAGTGAAAGATATTTTGTTATTAGTGAAAGATATTATTTTCTTTATTGACTTCAATTTATATGTTCAAAAAAATGTAGTGTTTTAGATTGCGGTAATATTGCGTAGATAGTGATTTGTATTAACAGGCCGTTATCAGGAGACAGGCAATTTTTGTAACGGCACACGGGTCACAAAAATAGATTGTTCTGTAAATAATTATTATTCATGAACATGCTAACTTTTCAGTTCGTCTTGGAAATGAATGAACTTCTATTCCTAGCAGGGCGAAGTACTTGCGAAGTTGCAAGGGTCACAAGCGTTGATGTTTTTCAGGGAGCGCTGCCCCTGGTGCTGATGTTCGAAGTTGCTTCTGATGCTGTCACCCCCGACGAGATGGCGCAGGTCATGCAGAGCTTCAACCTCGTCATCGTCCCGAAGGCTCCTCGTCCTGATGGCCGCCGTCCGGTCGTCATCAAGGGCGCCGAGAAGGACGCAGGTTCTTTCGAGTTTTTTTTTGCCCTCGAGTTCTTTCAAGTTCTGTTCAGCAATTTGAATTGGTTCAATAAGGTTTTTACGCATTCGCAAAAAAATCTCTTTTTCATAAGGATTTCCGAACGCCATATCAACCAAAAATTTCAATTATAGGGAAGGAACTTGCCCACGACACTATTTTGCTCTGAATGCGAACTACGCAAATAATCTATTGTTATCAATTTTATCACAGAGAGCCAAATTTATTCAAGTATGCATTCGCTTAAGAATCCCTGAAATTTCAATTGAGTACTTATTGTAAGTTTAACCCTAAATTGCTATTGGATAGGATGGATCCATGGCCACGACGCTATTTGCTATGAATTTAAACGACGCAAACTTATTCAATAGAATGGAAGATATGCTATCTCGATTATATTAGGTTTCTTCTCAATCTCAGTGCGCCTACGAATTAATGAAGTTATCAAATATGTCCACTTTCATACAATGCGATTTAGAGCGACATTCTTGTGTGTGTTAATGGCACGTAGACTTCTCATGCTTCCAAAACGCAGCTAGTTATGCTTTTAACAATACCCGTTTTGTTGGTGAATGAAGCAATAAAGCGCTGAATAATTTTTTTCTTTGCACATTACTTGGAGTAGAAGGCGCACTTCTCACTACATATATTGGACCATGAAAGCTCAAGAATATTTTGGTAATGTAAGCAGAATTCCTAGAAATACATTAGGTTTTGATGGAAATGTTTGTGTGCAGCTCACATCTACGAAGCGTGGAAGCTTGTGACCCGCAGCGACAAGCGGCTGCCGTCGGTGCGCATCCCGCCATCGTACCACATCTCGCATACCGCCCTCCCGCATACCAGTAAGCTGTCATCACGTGTAATAATCATAATAATAATAAAATGCCTCCATAATGCTGCCAATAATATAAGCTGTTAACGGATGTTAGGCCGTCAACTTTCCAGGTTTTCCATTGCTTGCTGTTAATCCTTGAGCGCACATCAAATATGCTGTAGGTGTTTTCACTGACATACCTGGCGTGTTTGTGTTTCTGCAGACTGTCGAATTACTTCTTTGAACGAATGAGCCCAAGCTCTCGATTTCGAACGTTGCTTGAAGCTACGATATGCATTTTTAAAGACAAAGTTTGTCTGCTCAATGGATTAGTTTTGCTCAGTACTCAAGCACTGACCACGTCTCGTTTCTTTTCTTGATGTGCCAAAGACATTGACTCATAATATATATCAGTTATGACATTAATGATCAGTAGCACGAGCGTGACTAGCAGCCATTCCCATATGGAAATGTCAGCATATTATAAATATTGTAAAGCGAGGAAAAACTAACTGATGCGAGGGACTATTTTAATTTTCAATCAAAACCCGGGACTGATTTTTTTCGCACTAACACTTGCAAAGAAAGTAATTACACTGCTAGTCTTTCGTTTGCGGTTGAGGAACGAATTCATTTATTCGTAGACGGAACATTGCGGTCGTAAATTAACCGACAATATAAGTCATAGAAAAAAATTAACATGATCCACGAGTCGATCAAATTCACGATAAAAGATTGGTTAGATGGTGAAGGTTTGTGAGACGTCGAGAAGCCACGATTGCTTATAGGAATTCGCTGCAGGAACGATGAATATTAAATTGTGAGTCGTATATAAACATTTATAAAATGATATTAGAAAAATAATTTTCTACTCGAGTTCTTGAACTCACACTTATGTAAATGGATAATTCTTTGAGCTTCTAAGACGAGTGGGTCCATGTTGCGGTTGCCTCTTTGTATGTACATGAATACTTCAACTTGAGAGTGTCCTGATGAAAGCCTAATGTTCAGTGCGTGTGGCTGTCAACTTGATCGTTGTAATGAGCTCATTACGCGAGGTGCAGGAATTCATTTTTAGTTTAGTGGTCACTGGTCACGTAGGCGATATTGTAAAGTTATGATTATTTTATGTATTAGGTTAAGTAATAAGTATCATATGACAGTGTTGTGTTGGGCATGGAAATGCATAAGATTGTGTGGCTGCAGCCCTAGGCAGACCTGGCATGTGGGGCGGCGTCCCACCTCCTCTGTCTCGGACGTCCAGCGGCCCCATGACCCCCTTCCCATTCCCCACCAACTTGCCCTCCCCTCTCTCCCCTGCCTTCCCTCCTGCAACACCTGGCTTCCCCAGCTCCCCCTCATTTAACCTCCCCAGTACCTCCCCCTTGCTGGGTGCCCTTATGCGCGGTGGACACTCGCCCCTCTGGCCACCCTCTCAGTCCATGTCTACCCGATTTCCTTTCCCCGCCCCCCGCTCTGGCCAGTTCTATCATGCGGAGGGTGAGTCGCGCTCATGAGTTCCTTTGTGTGGTGGCTGCGTTTGGTCTGCAGGGTCGCGACGGGGTAAACGTTTGGACCCTGACTAACTAACCGCTTAGAACTGCGCCCAGTATTCTAGGTCGGGCAAGTCTTGCGAAACTAACTCCACTTCCTTTCTAATTTACGGCGTATAATCACGCCAACTAAATTTAATTTGTACTACATTCTGTAGTCGCTGTTCATCAAAATTTGGTGGGGACATGTCATGGAGATCCCCTGTGGTCTATTCATATTAGTAACATTTTCTCACTAATTCCTCTATTCGACAGTTTTGCCAGCACAAGATCTCTGTCTTAGTCAAACTATCGTAAAAAATTTTAGAATGTAACTACAATGTGGGAGCATGGAAATTTGCTTCTGAATGCTCACCAATGTGGGCGAGTTCATCAAGGTGTCTGTAGTTATATTTTTCCCTGGAATGCCAAAAATCTTGTAATTACATTACGAAATTTATTTTGGAATGCCGCTCTCACACATACGACTGATAATTTTCTTTCAATAAGCCTGTTAAATTGAAATTCCATCTCACATAAGTGAGAGAGTTTTTGAATTAGCTAATTGAATAATTAATCATTTGAACTTTGTCTTCTCCTGTTTTGCTTATTGGTCATCAAATTTGAAGAACATTTCCCTTAAACTTTGAATGGGTTGGTATCAACATAATTCGAGTTTTTCACATTTAAATTTCGAGCAAATACGAAGCCTTAAACTTTCTGCTCATTTATTCTGTCTTGCAGCACAGGTCTAAATAGTCACCGTATGAACTGTGGATACCAGTTTTTAATGTTGATAATTTGTGGAGGATTTATAACTGGGCAGGGTGGCACAGTGGTTGAAGTTCAGAGTACCAGGGAGTGGAGCAGAGAGGCGTGGGTTCGATCCCAGCTCTAGGCGCCAGTTTCTGGTCAGAATCGGCGAGGAGGCCGGGCGGTTAAGCACAGCAGAATTGTAGCAGTGAGTTGCGAGTTCGAGTCCGCAACGAGCTGTGAATATTCTGCGATGTCGAGAATCGGCGACAGGCCTACGGCCTACTAAACGCTGAAACCGCCATTATAAATAAAATTTATTTGTATGAAAAAGATTGTTCTCGTGTGTATTTTTCGTGCATGCAGCGTGTGTAAGGCAACGCATGAATAATTGTAGCCTTAACTTGACTTATCCCATTGTCGATCTAATTCTCTTTATATGTGGCCAAACAAATGAAGACAACAATTATATATTTGTGTGTAGGTTAGGCTCTTGTCATAATTAGTTTCTGTTTTGTGTATAACTTGATCTGACTACTCTGTCCAAACGAAATTTTCGAACAATGAATAATGGTAGATAATTTTTAGATTTTTACAGCCATAACTTCGGAAAGGACCCTTTATTTTACTGTCATCTTTATTATTGTAGCGTATCATAAAAACTGTAGAGCGCTGTGCTCACAATATATGCAAGCACGTTTTATATTAGACATCTTTTGTGTTGACCTTCACTTCATTTTTCGCTCAATCAAATGCTCTAAAACAAAAAAAAATGAGCAGATTCGGCATCATTAATAGCTCATTAGAATCTCGTAACTTTGAAATAACGACTAATTTTGAAATATACCATTTATTGAAATATGCCATTTGTGTTTTTTGAATGGGTAAAAAACCGGATTTGTGACTTTTTGGTCCATGAACACGTGGTTTTTTTTTTTTATTTTCATGAAACTAATGGATGCTATTTTTCCAGGAACTAGCAACTTCTACGCGAACGTGGCTGCGTTGTCTAATCTTTCGTCAAATTCACCGAGCTACATGGCGCATGACAACAACGTGTTCGGGGTCAACAATAGTGCTCAGTATGGCGCTGGCTACGGCTTCCCCACTGGCGACCATCTCAATAATAACTATCTCAGTCTCAACAACAACTATTATGGTAACCGAAGTGCTTTTCCCATGGCTGCTAACCCGGTGAATTCGTCCGCTGATGACGGCAACGTGCATTCATACGATAATGTTCAGTCGCGTCAACAGCTTCAGCTGTTGCAACAGCAACAGCAACAGCAGCAGCAACAGCACGCAGCTCAGGGCAGACCAGGTGAGTTGTCTGTGGAGCTTCGTAAACTCGATGCGTTTCCAGAACTTAGCGTGGCTTCTAGTTTTGATGTGGGATCTGTTGCGACTGGTAGACCTGATACCACCGTCACTGGTGATCAGAGTAAGTTAGTTCTCCCTAGTGTTGTGACGTGCAGCGCTACGATGCGTGGCATGACATCACTTACCTGCTCGTCTGTGACTGGCGCTGTGCCTAAGAGATTGACATGCGCTGTTAAAATCACTAACAGCTCCAATGCTAAGGGTTGCATTGCTGCCATCGAGCAGAATCACGCTTTTGGTGTCCCGCGCTCGAATGGCCTGAAGAGTACTGTACATCTTACGGATGATGACTCGGGAACTGAGGATCCCTTCTTATCGAGCGTGACGGATCCGGCGTCTGATGCTGGTTGGCGAGCTCTGATAGAGGCTGTAAATGATCCTTCTAATACTACATCGGACGCGCCTGTAAAGAACTGGCTCCCTGAAAAGTTCTGCATGGAACCGTTTGAGAAGGCTTGTTCTAAGATGGAAACTGCGGCGTCTTTTTTAGACGGCGCGACTATGTTCGCGCGACTTGGAGACGATATGGCTTCGCCTCCTCGGTACGAGGGCCAATCAAGTTGGCCTCAGCTTTCCAGCAGCGAAAATAAAGAGCATCTTGCCCCGGGCTCTGCTTGGGTCAAACCGTCCAGTGCGAGCAACGGGTCCTCGTGGCCAGAGAGGAACTTGGGTTTGTGGAGCCTAAATGCCACAGTGTCGTGCGCTTCAGATACTACTGCTCAAACGAGCGACAGCAAACCGTGCCAAATATCCATGAGATTCTCTGAGGGTTCGGAGGTCACCAATGATGCCATGAAACGCCTTTTCACTGATATCCTCGCTTAAGATTCTTTTCAATAGTGTGGATCTCTACAAACAACATAAACTAAACCATATTCTCTTGGTTGTCAGATACATCGCAGTACATGGATGACATCTCGATAAATATTTGCTTAAGCGATCCCGACCAGATGTCATGCTGGGGTTTTAGTTGGTGATTACTTCAGTACTTTCGTAGGAGAGAATATGGAGACGTTGCTGCTTGTTATGTTAATAATGACTTTTCCAACGGTCATATGAGTATCCTAATCATGAGGTATTTTGTACATTTGAAACTTATTGCTCATTTATAGATCTAAATTTTTCCTTATTCAAGACCCGGTTTATATTTCACTTTGACGAGCTTTGACGCCTCTGGAGATGGATTGATGGATGACTCTTTTGTTCAATAATCGAAGATCAGCTGATTATTAGTAATTTAGAACCCTTTATCGACCGGTGATCTCATTTACTACCGTCCTATTACTTCTTGTTATTTCTTCTTGTTTATTAACTCGGATCGTCCTCATACGCGAGGTCGTTTGTGTGTTGGGCGTAGCTTAGCATGTAATTTTCCGCTGTTTGCTTGGTGTTCGTGTTGGGTTCCAGCCCGAACTACTTCTAAGTTTGCATTCAATAAATTCAGTTGTAGCTCATGAGCTTTGTAATGCTTGTTTGCAAGTGTCGCATCAAGCGTTAAGTGCTGACGGTTCTATTCTTGCATTGATAGTTGGATAACAATATTTTGGATGCATTCATGTAAGTTGTGCAGAGAATAATCCTCTAAATTCGTTAAGACGCAATTATTCGCCGAATCTGTGACAAAGCGATGACGGTAAAGGCTGTGACAGTTATATCAAAGATGAGTATTTCAAGTGTTTGCCCTTGAATGGTTTGACCGATCTTTGGATCAATTACAAATTTCCTCATAAATTTCACTCGAATATCTTGCTTTATCATAGACGTTTTACTGTGCCGTCATTTAGTTATCGCATTCCAAATAATTTACCAAGGTGGTAAGTTTTCTCTGACTTCCATACAACTACTGTTTTTCCACAAGAAAACTATTTGATATTGACTCTTTGCTATTCGCTGATGTGCGATTAGTTTTGCGTCCAGATTTAAGTATCATTTGCCGATTAGCCTAATTTGACATTCTAGCCTACGGCAGTGATAAGTTTGCTTTATTAAACTTCAAATCACGTCTGAAACAGCAATGCACGTGTGCATCTAACTAAATGGGACTTGTATGTGTCCTGAAGTCTATGACTTGGAATTTATGCTACTGTTAGGACAGAGGATGCTTTATGAAATCGTTTGCTCACTCAGTATTTGTACTCGAGTTTAGGCAGAGGTTATTTTACGGTTTTCGTTGCTTTGTTGTTAGTATATGTGCTTAGATTTAGATAAAGGTTTTTTTCTATTGGATCATACTGCCAATAGAATACACGTACTCAGATTAAGGTAAAGGACTTGTTTGATTTCCAGTGCCCAGTGAGTGAGCGTGCGTTAATTTAGACAGGAAGTGTTTTTTGGTTTCCAGTGCTGAAGGAACACTAGATTTTTCGCGTTCGAAAGTTTATCGATCCCGAAGTTCTCATAGATTGAAAAATGAACTCGTGTGTAGTGAACCTTGATTTTTCTAAACGATGTTTTAGTGGAAAGTAACCTTATTTTGCTGATGACGTAATTGTGCTTTGACGAGGGTTTTTGTATTTGAAATATGATGCATATGATTTCGAATGGATTTCGACTTCTATCCTCTGAATTGCATTGTGCGCTTATAATATACTGGGAAAATGGAACGTGCAAATGATGTGCAATGTTATTAACTAGAATTTGAGGCTCCGTTCAATTCTGTTTTTTTTTTTAAATACAAGTTTATATGATTAACAAATATGGATCCGACAAAATTGGGAAGACTTGTAATTTTACTAACATATCCTGTGGATTATGTATGACCTTCTGCCTCTGCTTGATTCAATGTGAACCGAGTTGATGTTTGCAATTATTTCTCATTTTTGGTCAATAACGCTGACAAATGCGATTGATGTTAAGACGACACTATAATCTGACTTGGAAACTATGCCGACTTTCTCTTTCCCTTGATAACATTCTAACCGTGAACAGCTCTGGTTCTCATTAATTTTGTAACTTGGGATTATCACTTTGAGTTAAAATCAACGGCGCTAACAAACGCTACGATTTCTGATATTTTTTCACGTTGACGGGATTTGATCGCGTTTAGCTTTAAAGTTTAATCGTGTGCAGATCTGTTCCAAACTCACTTACGAGGTCTTGCTTTTTACGCTTCCAGTATATCGTATCATTTCATTTAATTATATTGTATCATTTTAGCGTGAAACTTATCAAGATTCTAGTTTAATTTGCTCGGCTTTATATTTTTTGCTTTTGCTTATTTCTCGGCTCTTCTTAACATCATAATAACGGCTTTGTTTTCCTGTCACCCTTTTTTCTAGTTTATTTATTTTTTTGGCATTTTGTTTTGTTCGCATCTTATGGGTTTGCTTAATATACTAATTTTGCATTTGCTTTATGTTTTATTTTCTTCCTTCCACGTTATTTTATACTTTCTATTTTGCTAATCCTCTTCGTGGTTTTCCGTAGAGTTAGTCAACGACATGAAACTAACCAAGCCGAGTGACTGTTTTACTTATTACTTGCGTATCCATTTTCCCGAAATGTCGTATTCATCAACACTGCTTGCTTATAAAAGCCGCTTTTATTGGAAATTATCGTTGAACTTCTGCTCGGAGTTGTCATGATTTGGCAATTGTACAATTTAGAAACTTGAAGAAGTTATCAATAAATGACGGCACGTAGGTTAGTAACTTCTGTATCATTCATGGTAGTTTATGTACCCTGAGAAGTGACACTTGGCTTTGTCCAAATGACGATGTACTTTGTGCCTTTATCTCATCCTGATTCAGTAATTGGAGCGAATCAGTGCTAGGTGCAACAAGTATCCCATCATAAGGACAATATCACCTGTTTATTTCTGAGTGTTTATTTAATTATATACGAATTTCTCAATATTGATCAACGCATACGTTTAGAAACAGCGCTCATCAGTGTCGGCTCTAAAGCCTAAAGAACAAATATGTACTAGAATATTGATCATAATGATTGATAAGGGAATTCAGTCCAATTAGTTCATGATTGAATAACCTTGATTGGCTCTAACGATAACTACTCGGCTTCAACTTGATGGATGAATAACAATTTCTCGAATGGTACCTGCTGATAATGTTAGCGTAACGTAACATAACCTGATAGTGGTTAGCTTAACGTTCTCTCGTAACCCCGCTTAGTTACGTAGCTTTATCCTCGACGTTCTCTTGAGTGTAGAAATTTAGCAGCTGCACGATTACGCCTGTTTTACTGGCGGTACGGTAACGCCTGTTTTACTGGCTGTTCTGTAACGCCTGTTTTACTGGCGGTACGGTAACGCCTGTTTTACTGGCGGTACTGTGACGCCTGTTGTACTAGCGGTAAGGTAAATACTAGCGGTACGGTAACGCCTGTTGTACTAGCGGTACGGTAACGCCTGTTGTACTAGCGGTACGGTAACGCCTGTTTTACTGGCGATACGGTAACGCCTGTTTTACTAGCGGTACGGTAACGCCTGTTTTACTGGCGGGACGGTAACGCCTGTTTTACTGGCGATACGGTAACACATTACTTTCCGTATAATCATGCTATTCGTATAGAATAGAAGAAACGATCTAATTAACGCTTGTATATGCAGGTCTAATAACATCACTCGGTCGTTACTTATCCACGAAAGAATCGATTAATTTCACGATTTAATTCTCTGCCTGCTGTACAGATTATAATGTATATTGAAGATTATAATGTATATAATGTAATATTGAATGTATATTATAATGTATATTTGCCTAGGTGATCTAAGCATTTAAATGAACCCGGAGGTAGGCTCATGGTTGAGCAAGAGAACTAAAGTGTTAACAAGACAAAGCGTTTGTGTTCACACAGATTTACTTGAGACAAAGTCGGAATCGGAACGTTGCACGCTGTCTTAGTACCACTTATCATCATAAAAAACAGAAAATTCATGTTAAAACTACAAAAGATTGAAGACGATACATTTTCTGAATCTAAACAGTATATCGATTTAAATAACACGTCCGAAATGACGTTTTATGATTCTAATCTTGTAAGTTAGATATTTTAATTGCCACTCACGTTCCTTCACTAATGTGATCTATTAACGAATAAAGTTACTCAAGTAAAGCGACGCGTGATTCTAGTTGGAAATGTCAATGATGAGAGTAAGTGCCGACGTATTATCAATGTAGTAAGTAATGGCGTTGCAATCAATGTCTCGAGTTCATACACTATAAATAAGACTTGAGTTTTTAATTGAACTCGGATATTCATCAACGAGCATAGTTGCAACGAGCATAGTCAAAAATGCATCAACGAGCATAGTCAAAAATTGCAAAATATAAGCAATGAGAATCAATGGCGATTGCGATGCAGTGATGACGTCTTTGTGTATGTGTGCACTGCAGACGAGTCAGCGAGCGGGGGAAGCTGCAGCAGCAGCTGTGGGGTCGTTTCCCCCAGCACGAGCTCGCCCCAAGAGTCTTCCCCACGAGACTCTTCCCCTGAGATGGTAGTGCTGGGACACATCCAGTCCCCGCCTGGCATGACCAAGTTCGCCCCTCCGCAGCCTACCAGCGGCGGCGCTTCCCCAGCACTCAAAACCTCGTCAGGTAAAGCCTAATAGCCCATTTTTCCGGCTGTCCAACAGCAACCTGTCAGAGTAGATGCTCTGACGGGAGTAAACTATGTGAAGGGACCGTAATCTTATGCTCTCTACATTTAAACTGATTACCTATATTCCCTAATTTATAATTTTTATTTGATTGTCAGTATTAATTCGAACTATTCAACATGAATGCATTATGCTTGGAATGTTTTGAGATTGAAAGTTTTCAAGAAGGCGGCGCTAAGCTAGGCTGTTCATTTTTAAAAGCCACATATAAATGATTTTGGCTATTCGATTTCACGCGTCCCGAAATTATGCGTAGCCTTGGGCACTCAAACGTGTAAACGAATGTTTCAAATATCTAACGTAAACGGTACGCTGCCTTCATTTATCTATAAGCTAAATAGTGTTCTGAAACAGTCTATTCATTTTAAATAGTCGTGCATTCTATAGCTGCACGTCATCTATAGGTGATATTTTTTTCTTGTTTTCTCAGTAATTTTTTCAGTTTCTTTTTTATTTTCAAGTGCTAGTTATTCGTGGTCACCTCTACCTTATAATTTATACACTGATTTACTAGTGATTTAGTTTATATTCTTTGATTGGGAAATAAGTCGATATTTATGAACAGCGGCGCCTGCCAGCTCCGCAGCCCAAGGCGCTCAGGCTAACTTCAACACCTCGGACAGCGCGACACGTTCCAGAGGTGATGTCCCCTCCTAAAGCTCCTTGTGGTCCTCCTCAGTCAAAGGACCGATTGCTATAGGACAGAAGGCGCATGCTATGAATGACCTTCCGTCCCACAAAACAATAATTCAGATTTTCTGACGCCATTTATGATGATCATAGCATCTTCTTGAAATTTTCGTTGAAATGATCCGTAAATCAATTTTGCAACTCTGAAAACACTCGAATCATTTTGATTGATTGTTTAGTCTCTGAAAATTGCATGAATTTAATTCTGCATCACCTTGCTTGTTAAACTTCTGTAAGTGCCATAAATTAGCCTAGTTTTGTGGCAATAAATCTATGGTACGAAACTTGCTTCCATTAAAAAATAAGTAAGCTTTGTACTGTTTGCAGACCTGAGTTCGCTGTTGTCGGAGTTCCAGGACAGGAGAGCCCCTGGTTGCGAGAAAGAGCTGCAACAAGCCATGCACAAGCTTTCCGTCTCCGATTACGAGGCCAAACAGATCCTTGCTAATAAAGGTAATTATCATATTATCATTACATTACCATCACAATATCATCATTTTGTGTTTTACATGTACTTACGGAAACAGGTTTTATAAAGGAAAGTATTCGAGTTTTTGATGGCAAGAACAAAGAAATGCAAGAATCACTGTTTCCTGTATTCCCGGTCCGCGCCTCAAAACGTCCAATTTCTTTTTCCGTGCTGTAGTATATGCTCCAATTGTTTTGTATTTCTCCGGGATTCATGCCATTACTTAGTTTTTTTTTAAGTTTTCCAAACTCTACACAAGTTTTGAGGGTCGTTTTCTTTCCCGGTCGTTGATCCTGGTCTATGTTGAATCTTAACGCAGGTCTCGGTTGTTAGGTCAAGGATTTTGACATGACGACTTCCTGTCCAAGAGTTATCGCTGTTCTTATCTGAGATTAAAACGCTGTTTTTTGTAGATTCGGATTGTAGATTTGTTTTTGTAGATTTTTTGAGCTTTCCATTGCAGGACCTGCACCTCATGGGAGGATTTTTACTTGCTATACCTACATTAAGTTTTTGATTGAAATGAACAAACCGGTACAGGTTTTATGCCACTAGTAATAATTGAGGAAATGTCGGTAACCGAAACGCCCAAGAATTTTTCCCATCCCGATACAACTTGAGCGTGCTTCAGTTATAAGTCAGTTAGTAGTGCTTTCTTTCCCATGCACTATAGGTACCTACATGAAGCAATGTCTTTTGCCTTCTTTTTATTACTCATTTATTCTCGTGAAAATTTAGAAATTCTCGGGAATGTATACATAGAAAAATGGGATTAAAACTAACGAACGAAGAAATATAAGAGTATACGTATCGAAAGCTCTCATTTTATTTTAAATAAACTTTTAAGATTAAATGGCAGCATGGCGACCAGCAGTCAAAAGTTTATTTGGTCAATTATTGGTGTTGCCTCCATAAAATTCCCCATACAATAGTGCACAAGTGGAAGAAATAATGGTTTATATGTGATGAACTTTATGCCATCCTTTTTTAAGTTTGCGAGAAAAATGAGTGTAGAACGTCAAAGCATTATCGTTTTTTTCTCAAAATGACAAAGTAGTGTACATTTTCAGTTCTGAAAGCCTGTTCATGGTTCTGATCACCTTTATTTATTCGGACTGGAACGGTTGGTTTAGTTTTACTTGTTAAAAAGTAGTATGGGTAAGTAAGAAATCCATCAAAGTACTTTAAAAGACACGCCTCCTCATGAACTTCCACGGTTTCTAGCAATGCGGGAACCAGTGGGAGGTACCGTACGAGTGCCCACTTCGAACTGGTCAGGGTACGGCTTCAGTAAAAGCTCGCCGTCGTATCCTTTGAGACAGCAGTTCCAGCAGGCAGGACTCCTCAAGAAAACCGTAGACCGAACGTCTGCTGCGACACAGTCACCCACCGGGGCGGCTCAAGATATGACTGGTGCCGCGGTGTCGGCTGACTGGACGGCTTCGAAGGCCCAAGCTCACTTTACGTCAGACGCCGTGGCTTCGTCTGCTCAGTTCCTGCAGTACGAGCGTCTCATGGCTACGACCGAAGCCCAGCGAATGACCGAGCCTTCTTCCCTACCTCAAGTTGAGGCTCCGTGCGCCATGACTGCTGGTGCGTTCTCATCAATGAAAGACTTATTTTATTTTTAAGATCAAGATTAATTATTTGTGTTGTATATTCCCAACTATTTGCAGTTGAGTAGATTTATTGAAAATCGTACGTAAGGTGTTGAAATAATTTTTTTTAGATAATCAAGTATAATTTTTTTGTGAGATAGAACGCTTTTGTCTCGGAATTTTATTATTTACTGCTGAATAATCATTAAAATCAATTTGCGTGTTGACACTTGGCGATTGACTCTAGTCCTGTGACTGTTAGGAGCGCCTGTGGAAGAAGACGAGTGGCTGAGCGCTGCGGGCAAGTGGAGCGGCAATGACGGCAGCGGCGCGACCGTGGCGAGCGCTGTAGATTCTGGCATCGCGGCATCCATCAGCTCCAGCAACCAGGTCATTGTTGCCCCTGCTTGCTGTCTGCTTAATCATATTAGATGGCAAATCTGGCCTTAATATGTTGTATTAACTGGCCTTAATATTATAATATATATATAATAATGTATTAACTGACCTTAATTGGTTTTTATCCGGTCGAGACTGCGTGATTAAGATCTATTTCTGTTCGGACTACACGTACTCCAAATTAGCATATTTTTATGCAGCCTTCGTTTCATCTGCTTTTAAATCTTCTGAACTCGCTTTAATATTAGCATTTATTGGCTTTGCAGGCCAGTCTGACGCTGAGTGACCCCGAGAGCAGCGACGGGATCGGCCACAGCGCCGCTTCTTCCTTCGGCAGCGGTGCGTACATCAAGTTTCCAGCTGTATACCGTGCCTATTACAACGCTTATTTTGAAGCTTCATTTTGTATGCCGGAAATGTTGCTCCTCTTTAATGCAGTCACGATGTTATAGCATTTTGACGATGAATGAGTTTATCAATTGATGTCAGATCTCGAATGCTACTAGTTTCTTGTAAAATTCTGAACCCCCAGTCATCTATTATGATTTTTATTTTTGTCTGAAGCCTGGCACCGTAAAATATACGGGCTATTCGAGCGTGTATTCACAACCGATATCGTGTCATTACCTGGAACTGTTATTTTACTCTTAGTGGGAAGTAGTGTGACATTGCTAAACGGAAGGGCAGGGGGCAAAGTAAAAAGAATATTTTCTGCTATGTATTTGGTATGTGTAAATTATATTAAAAAAGTTTGAAGCTTACAACGAATTTCAAATTGAGAGTTGCATACTAGATGTGAATTGAAGTTGTTCTTTCTTCAGTTCTTAGCGAGTTGGTTTGATCTCGGCAAAAATTTAGTTAGCAGTTGAATCAACGTGCCCAGCTCAATTTAAAGCTGAATTAAGAATAACATGCCTATTTATCTGGCAAAAAAAGGGTAGAGAAAGAATACTATTAAAAAGGTGTTTTTAGGATAGTGGAGGATGGAAGGATGTTATACGGTTGCTCGTATTCATATTTTACTTCACGCATTCTTTAAGTGAAGTTAGCTTGTTTACCCTTGGTTGATGTATGATGTTATTGCAGTGGGCGCAGCAGCTCTACACAGCGATCACCAGATACACCAGCTTGGGACTCGCTTTTCAGCGAGTAACTTGCACGAGTTCACGTCGGGCGCTGGTCGCTTCTGGACCACAAGACGTGCCGCCCATTCTTCTCAGCTGGAGCTGCCGGCTCTGCTGGAGAGCATGTCGCTCTCGCAATATATCGGTCTGTCCAAAGCATGAGTCGTACTATCATTAATAGTCACGAGTCCGTAACTCCGGCTTCTCAAGCTAAATCCATCATTAACAGACGAGAAATCGGCCGCTAAGTGTAGCCCTAGGTCGCTATGTGTACTATAGCATTTTTGATAGAACGGCCCTAGATTTGTATCTGTGCTCCAGGTCCCCCAAAGTCGTGCCACCAGCTCCGCGTTTCATAACCACTGTCATACTAGTTAATCTGATGATGATTAATGAGTACTTATGATGATTAATCAGTATGATGATTAATGAGTATGATGATTAATGAGTATGATGATTAATGAGTATGATGATTAATGAGTATGATGATTAATGAGTATGATGATTAATAACTGTGATGATTAATGACAATGATGATTAATGACAATGATGATTAATGACTATGATGATTAATGACTATGATGATTAATGACTATGATGATTAATGACTATGATGATTAATGACTATGATGATTAATGACTATGATGATTAATGACTATGATGATTAATGACTATGATGATTAATGACTATGATGATTGAGTATTATCTTCGTTGGCAGTTTTGTGAAGGTTTCATCAATCTCTAATTAATCTCGCCTTATTCTGATAGCTGAAAATTATTTTTGTTTCCAGTTTATATAATTTCCAACTGTAACTGAGTAGACTATTAAAAAGTTTATAATAAATCATATCAAAACTACTGACTTCTGAAAAATTGTCTTCTGACATTTTTAAACGAAATGCAGATTTTCATCAAAAGTTTCCACCTACCTAGTGTTGTTTACTGGTTGATAAAATATCCAGAAATTTTTGGAGCTGGACAAGTCGTTGAAGATCATGACGCTAATTGATAGGAATTGGATGATGGTCAGCTAACAATGAGTGAAGGGATACCGTAATTTAAAGAAGGGACCTTCTACTAGATTTTTTTAGTTTTGCTTTTTAGCTTGATGACAATAGTATCATGCCTCAGAGAATTACAAAACCAATATGCCATCTTCAGCTTAACATTATTGTTATTCTTTTTGATTACATTTTATCCTATGCGTGTTGTATTTCAGATGTATTCAACTCGCATGAAGTCGACCTGCGCACTTTCTTAACCCTCAACGACGACGAGCTCAAGGAACTTGGTATTGGGGTCTTCGGGCATCGCAAGCGGCTGCTCTTCGCCATAAAAAGTAAATATATCCGTCAAATTTTATCTTGCTCACATTCAATCGTAGATGCCTCGTATTAATCTTAGACTCACATCTTGTCAACTTGTGATATGCTAGACAAGTTTTCTATTTAAAACTGAGATGTACAACAAAACCGTACAGTGCACATTGTTTGCGTACTACGTTGCACTAAAGTAGATCCCAAATTGTCGACGGCTAGAAATTTTTGATTTTGAATCTAAATCACCGCCGTCACGTTGGCCTTGCAGTAATTGGCATATGTGTTATGGCACTGATACTGCAAAAACAAATTGGCACTGATACTGCAAACAGATATTAACAATTATTTCTTGTTTTTCATGTGGATTACGAGAGAAGTCAGTAATCAAAATTTTCTATCCCTGTTGCGATTCTCACGAAAGGTTCCGGTTTTTATACTCACATGATTGTAGAAACTTCAGTTGTCGTATAAGTTTTCCATCACTGATGTATTCCACGTGTTTATTTGTTCATAGCAATGGCAAATTGTGATCGCAGAATTTCCGAGCTGCTCTATCAGTTGGTTTTAGTTTTTTTATATCTGAACATTAAATACCACTTTGTAATTACTGTTGTATACTGCTTCCGATTACTAAAGCTGTGCTGAATTGAACCCCCTTCTTCCCCGAGTCTTTGAAGGATTGTCTGTTAATAAAGATTTATTTAAAACTTGAATGTAAAATAACTTTGTGCAGATTTTACGAGCTTCCTGCCCGAGCTGAGCAGCGCCGAAGGAGATGCTGATCAACAACGGCATCAGCAGCATCAGGCTGGTACTAAACGCTCTCCTCCTCACGATGCTGCTCCTAAAACTGTCACGTGGAATTGCTGACGTTGTAGGGCGCAATTGAGACAAGTAGGACCTCTGATGACCGAAATAGATGCTGTTACTTTGAAAAAATTTGCAGCTGTTGCCTGAAATCCAGCGTGAAATCGTGAAAAGGTGGTGCGTGAAATCCGTCGCTTCCTAGCTGTTGGTTTTGAGTGACTTCCCTCGTTCTTCATTTGAGTTCAGTTCTGTTTCCTTCCTCTGCATGGTAACTAGATTATTAGCACGGGCAAAGATAATCGTAACACATGTATTTTTCTTCCCGTTTTAATCTTCGTCCCAACTTTTTTGACAATTTATTTTCACCTACAAGCACAAATGCGTTCTCGACCTCTTTAATCTGTCCACTGATGAATATTATTTTTCGGCAACAGTGGTTATTGACGTCAAACTTGCATGTATATGCAGTAACGTTTATTATGAAGTTTGTGTACAATTTCGGTTACACCCTTACGTAGTTTCCGCATTCTGGAGTTCCTGGACTCGGTGACCTGAAGTACTTGAGAATGCTTATTCATCAACGGAGCTGTATGCTTTAAAAGTTCAATTGTTTCGTTCACTCTTATAAGTACTTAGTGTAGCAATGATAATTTTCTTCGTACTTGACGGTTAGTCTCTTTAAATGTTTCTTGACGTTAGCAGTTCTCAACAATGCTACTCAATTCCAACGTGTATGATTTGAACGTTTCTGTTGATCTCGGATCTCTAGTTTTTGACTCGGGTGCGCGAAGTATTCAAAGTACTCAAGTTTCGCTGCTGAAGTTCCCCTAGTGCTCTCTCTCTCATGACTTTACGGTGTCGATGTGTTCGAATCCAGCGCTTCGCTCGCTTTGGTGACCGGCAGTGTGCCGGAATTTGTCTGTGATACATTTTTTGTGAGGGTTAAATGAGCGTGCGAACTTGAACCGAGTGGTTTACATGAACTCTGATGTCAGTCCCTTAGACATACCTCAATGCCAATCCATTACCTGGGATTTGTATTTGTAATTTTTACTTCTCTGGCCTCCATAACAAGGAATTTAGATATAGACGATTTACATTTGATACTGTAGATTATCTGCGTAACAATTTCATTCAATTGACTAAAATAGCAAAAATTTTCAGTTTAGTTATGAAGTGACTATTGCCCATCGATCGTAAGTTAATGTAACGCATCAAGTTATGACAACAGATTCTCTCTTGATTGAAAAAAAATCAGTTGGAAATGTTACTTTTGACGAAATTTAAGTTACTTTTCGGTTCTGATTTTACTACATTTCGACCTCTTGACCATGAACAAAAAATTTTATCTTCCATTGAAACTATTTAGCGCTTTCCACCGACCGAGATGTAGACTATCCAAGGAGATCATTGGTGTCGGATATTTTAGAGCAGGAAACCATACATTTAGTTGATGCTGTTTATGGACGAGTTTGGTGGTGGCGGCCCTGGGGGACAGAGTTGCTCACGATGCATTCACGATGCCATTTAGTGGTAGCTTGTGCCTATTTTCAAAGTTTTTGAGTTTCGTTATCGCTCTTAAAGACTAACGCGTTTGTTAATCCCTGTTATTTTTGGTGGGTTACACCTCAGTAAAGTTATCCTCCAGAATTTGATTTACTAATTTTAGTTTTAACGCGTGTACGTCTGAAATAAAATCACTTTTTATCATCCTGAATGCATTTGAAGCAACGGTTTTCGGGGCCTGTCGTTCACTTTCGTTTCAGTAGGAAACTTTCGCTTCAAGTTTTTGTGTTAATTAGATAGGTTTTTCGTCCCGGACTTATGACAATGAATTTATTTTAGCTTCCTGTGGCAAAGAGTTTCGACTGATGAGGGCGTTTTTTTCTTTTTGCATTATGATGGTTTGAAGTTCCGTTTGCGTTGACGGTTTTGATAAGCTTGGCTGCTTCAGCTTCTCTCGAGTCGCATGCTGCTGAGAAGGTCTATTTTTCAATACTTCGTGGAAGATTATCTTCATCATCTCGTAATTCAACTATGCCTACAGAGAATGAACGGATGCCTGTAATTTTAGGCGCAAATTTTCATGATTGTGATATTTAGTTTTTATCGGAAGAATTTAGTATGTCCTGTTCCTTATTTTTTTCTTCGAATGATCCTTAGGAATTAAACTCGTTACAGTTTCCACGTTTCTTGCTTATCCTGTGTGCTCTCCTGCACATTTCTGCCAAGGTTTATTGACCATAATAGAAAGAATTGGATGGTATTGAAAGTTATATCGTGAAACAATTTCGCTGAACTTATCCGTGTACAGAAACTACTGTCGTGACAGGTGCAAGTCAACTATCATACGTAACGCTAACCCTTGCATGTGTTATGGACATGCATATAAGAGTTTCTGTTGAAGCACTTGCAATTTTTCCTTTTTGTGGAAATTGAAATTTTTGGTCGAAAATTGGCTTGCAAACGACAGATCTTTTTCAAGAACCGACGGACGTAAATACACGGTTAATTTGTACGCTTTATTTGTTTGAATAGTATAACTTGGACGCTCAAGTATAACCTTCTTCGTCGCTGAAACGGGCGTCATTGGATCGCTGTGCTTCCTGCAGGTGGAAGGAAAAATTATTATAACTTTCCGGGAAATGTTTTTGATATAACCATGTATTACATTTTTCAGACTATCTAACGTAAATTCTTTTAGCTGATATAGATGTGGTACTCGCCATTCTCAAAAGCTCAATAAGATTTTCTTTGTCGAGATTGGGAAGATCCACCAAGTCTTGTGGCACACCGTGTAATCTGGAGCAGAGTAGAGATCATTTGAACATGCCAATTTTGGTTAGGATTTTTTAATGTACCAAGTTAACAAAAAATAGATAGTCGAATTTGTTCGTTTTTTGGTATTAGCTATAAGCGGGGTGTCTCAAATTCAAATCATGCTAGGTCATGGCTACATTATAACTGAAGCGCTAGTAAACAATTGGCCACTAAACTAACTAACTAACTAACTTATAAAATAACGAGCCCTGTAACCGCGAAAATTTCCATTGTTATTATGTGAACTAAAAATTAATACCAATTCCTGCCTTGGATAGACTGGAATTATTCATAACCCAATGCATGAAAATAATCGCCTTTAGGCTGAAGTAGGTAACTAAAAGTACAATTAGATCGCAGGCCCTGCGTAGAAACAACACCTCTCTAAGCTGGGCTGGACGCCGGTCTCCGAGCTGATGTACCGGAACTCGGGCATAGCTTCATGCAGGTCCTCTGCGTCGTCACCGTCCGCGTGCAGCTCATCGGTAGAGCGGTTACTGTCTGAAATGCAACGTGCAAGTTCTGACAAGACTGAACTTGAACCTGGGGCCGCACTATCAGAAAATTTCCACGAGTTTGTGACTCCGTCAGCCTCTCACTGACCATGTTTCATGTTAAGCTCACCTATCACACACGGCCGATACTTTTAATGTACTTAATATGGTTATGATAAAACGGCCCCTGATGTACAGGAACATAATTTGCAGGGAAAGTATTAGAGCTCAAGTGGTAGCTAACTCATGATATTTTTAATTAACCTATAATATTTTGTGTATTCCAGCGATTCTAGGTGCACGAAATGCACCTTAAATGGATTTAGTTTTGATATTACGTCATGATTTTATAACGCCAGACTCGAAATGTTGACACTTCCATGATTAAAATAGAAACTGCGAAATCCTGTAGTCAAAACGTAACGAGGTGCGAGCACAGTCATGCCAGCTCAACGGGAGAAAAGTCTTCCCAGCAATATTGAAGCCCTAGCAGCAAATTTTCCGTTCATTGACAATATTGATTTCAGATCGACAGATAATTATTACTAGAGAATTCATAGACAGCTTTATCCATGGTACTACAAAAATTCATCCTCGTTTCTGACGTCATGAATCATAATCTCTATTAAACAATAGAACTTTTATTCAACTTGAATTGACTAATAGAAAATAAAAGAAAGCAAAGCAATTGATAACTACCTATTGAATAGTCGCGAAAAAAGAATGCAACCAAAAATGACATCAAAAAATTACCAATGAACCCCAGTCGCATTTCAGACGAGAGTCGCCGGTACACGAAAGTGCCAACGATGATCAGATACCTACTAGCACTTCCCGCTTATAACAGTCTACTTTTAAATATACCTATTGAAATATTTTAGAACTCGAAATTATTATTGATCATCAGCCTCGCCTGTGTTAGGAAGGTTCAAAGACTGCAGTCCGTCGCAGATCTCAAGCTCGATGTCCTCCAACTGGTCCGAAAGGTTCTGAAAAAAAAACCGCTATTACATTCAAGTCCGGGACACTATTTCCATTAAACTTCATCCTGCAATAATCCACTCGCGAATAAATTTTTGAATTTAGGAATGCAATCTGTCGCACAATCGATCGTGAGAAGGGACGGTTAAGAGAAAGTGATGCTTCTCGCTTGAACTAATAAAAATTATCATAACGTACGTACTTAATGATAGACTACAACAGCGTTATAAATTCTTTGCAATTTAATGAAGCACTAGAACATTCTTTGAAACACCATGTCGGTAAAAAAAATCATGAGCATTGTAAAAATTCGCCGCTTGATTAAGAACTAGAACAATTATAAACATGTAAGGCATCAAGTGTAATGTGTGGAACAGATTAAGAATCAGAGGAAACATTTTACCAAGCCACGTCGCCCTGTGACAGGGAGGTCCTGGATGTTTTCCTGGGCACAATCCCAGGTCGGCCTCCCCTGGAACACTACCAGCGGCGAGAAGCAAGCAACAGCATCGTATATCAGGTGGCCCAAATGAGGGCGGATGAACGATAATCAGAGGCGGCGATCCATCGTGGCCTGGGGCTGCTACGTCCCTAATAAATACTAAGGAAACTACTAAGGGAGGAGCCTTACGACGCAGGTGACGGGCGGCGGGAGGCACGCGGCGCGCAACTCGTGCCACTCGAAGAGCAGCCCACGCGTGCGTCCCTCGTGCAGCGGTGAGAAGTCCAGCAGCAGCACCTCGTCCTTGCTCTTCCTCACCACGTCGAACACGTCTTAAGAGAGGAGAGATGCCTTCATATTGATATCGAACAGATGACGCACGTCAAACACGGCACACAATAATAAAGATGCCTTCATTTTAAAATCAAACAGATGACGCACGTCAAACAAGGCACACCGTAATAAAGACGCCTTCAATTTAAAATAAAACAGATGACTTACGTCAAGCACGTCACACCGTAATAAAGACTCTTTCAATTTAATATCAAACTCATGCACCATGTCAACCACGTCACACCGTAATAAAGATAACTTCAATTTAATATCAAACAGATGCACTATGTCCAACACAAATTACCATGACAAAGATGTCTGCATTTTAATATCAAACAGATACATCTAGTTCAACACGACAGAGCATAAAGATAACTTCAAATTAAAATCAAACTGATGAATCCTAGTCCAACACTCCTGAGAATCACGTCGCTTTAATTAATACAATACCCTACACTCTCAATTCTTTGATGAGAACAGCGTGTTTCACTCACAATTCTTTGATGAGAACAGCGTGTTTCACTCTCAATTCTTTGATGAGAACAGCGCCCTACACTCAATTCTTTGATGAGAACAGCGGCCTACACTCTCAATTCTTTGATGGGAACAGCGGCCTACACTCTCAATTCTTTGATGGGAACAGCGCCCTACACTCTCAATTCTTTGACGGGAACAGCGCCCTACACTCTCAAATCTTTGATGGGAACAGTGCCCTACACTCACAATTTATTTGATGAGAACAGCGCCATACACTTACAATTCTTTGATGGGAACAGCGGCCTACACTTACAATTCTTAGACGGGAACAGCGCCCTACACTCACAATTCTTTGATGAGAACAGCGCCTTACACTCAATTCTTTGATGGGAACAGCGCCCTACACTCACAATTCTTTGATGGGAACAACGCCCTACACTCAATTCTTTGATGGGAACAGCACCCTACACTCACAATTCTTTGATGGGAACAGCGCCCTACACTCTCAATTCTTTGACGGGAACAGCGCCCTACACTCAATTCTTTGATGGGAACAGCGCCCTACACTCACAATTCTTTGATGGGACCAGCACCCTACACTCACAATTCTTTGATGGGAACAGCACCCTACACTCTCAAATCTTTGATGGGAACAGCGCCCTACACTCTCAATTCTTCGATGGAAACAGCGCCCTACACTCTCAATTCTTTGATGGGAACAGCGCCCTACACTCTCAATTCTTTGATGGGAACAGCGCCCTACACTCACAATTCTTTGATGGGAACAGCGCCCTTCACTCGCAACTCTTCGACGGGAACAGCGGCCTACACTTACAATTCTTCAAGGGGAATCTGTTGTCAATATTCTCCCGCCAGAAAGAGCTGATGTCGGCCAGTATGCTGGAGCGCTCGAGGCCCAAGCACGGGTAGTACTGACTCACGTCACGGGGGCAAACGCCTGCAATTATACAAAATAAAATGAGAAAGATTTCTTAACAAGCAGGAGCTGGTCAGATTACTTGTTCATTAACTTATTTGTGTATCTTCTGTCGTTAACGGGGAGAGAAACTTTTTTTTTTCTGTCGGAGAAATTTCAAACAAGAGCGGAAAATGAAGGGTTGAAAGACGACAATGAAGTATAATAAATTAAACTGATCAAAGTAAAAATAAAAAGACATTTGAGACAGGCAAGAAACAATACTTATACTAAATTTTAAATCTATTTTCTATTAGCATCATTCTAATTTTCGATACGAGGCAATATAAAAAAACATCTCTCGGAAATTTCTGAATGTAATAGAATTGAAATTTATTACTGTAGAACTGCAATTTTTCTGGTATTGACCATCCATGTCATTCAATTTTTTACATTAATCATTTCTGGAATCAAAAATTCATGCTGACGTTCCTTCGAATAAACTTTGTTTAGAAATCCTATATGCAGGACTAAATTAATGACCAAAAATGCGCGTTTTTGCCTGGGGTGTGGATTATAAGGCTGAGCTCACTGTGCATTTACTCGGCCATTTAACTGGTTCTCGGGAATGGAACTCAACATGTAAGCCAAAAATTAATTTTGTCGTGAGCAATTAAGACAGAGATAAAGTTAACATGATGAAATGAATAATAGCTTAGGACAAACAATAGAAATGAATAACTCCTAGCTACCATGTTGTAAATGGATAATGGTACATCTTGAAGGATAAATGAGCAAACAATTATAGCAACGTCCTGAAAGTAGAGCACTAAGAAGAGGAAAAAATGTTACAGGTAAAAAAATCTACGAAATGCACCAGACGTTTGCGAGACTTTGTAAGTCAATTCTAAAGAGAGTTAGAATTATGAGGCTGGCAGAGTTACAGCTTCAACTTTTGCCATTCTTAGGGCAACAAAAGATCAAATACTTTTCTAAGTAGCTATTAGCCTAGCAGTTCTTTGGAGAAACGTTGTGATAGAAAACAATTAGGAACGCAGTGAAATAAGTTGATAAACATCATTGGGTTACTGGCATCGCAAAAAAAAACATAACTCAGTACTCACTGCAGTGAGTGACAGAGAGCGCATTTTCTCGTCGACGAAAACTTGAGGTCACGGACGGATGGACGGACAGACAGACAGACGGACATGGCGAGCACAATAGTGCATTTTTTCCATAAATGAGAAAATGCACTAATAAGGAATAACTTGTACAAGAGCAATATATAACTTGTACAAGAGCAATATTGCGTGCGACATCAAAGGTAGTTAGTAGGTTGAGCGCGTCTGACTCACCCATAAGACGGCTCTGTGTGACGAAGCACCTGAACTCCCCTGAAGGGTTAATGTCGCACCACTTGCGCAGCACTAACACCGGCAGGCTGTTCACTATCTTCTCACTGTCGCTGCAGCTCTGAAAATGTCTCATGAAATGAAATAAACAACACGTGAGGCTGAATATGCCATGAATAACTAAACTTATTTTCCACGCAACCATGACTGATGATGAATAAAGGATGTGGAGAATCTTTCAATGACGCGATTCCTGAATTACTTACGCTTTCAAAACTATAGCCAATTTCAATACAGTAGAACCTTGATAACATTCTTTAAAGACACGTATGATCATGGAAAAAATTAGTCGAATTAGAATATAACTGCTTGGCATGATCAGACGCCCTCTTCAAAGGGTAAGTTTTCAAATCTCCAGGGCACAAATCAAGAAGAATTTTCGACAGGCCAACTTTGCCCAATTCTTCAACGCCAATACGTACTACTACACCATAATATACTATACATAAATAATATACTATAAGTTAATGACCTACTCGAAATGGTTCAGTGAGATCCAGGGTGATCTGGTTGCTGCTCTTAAGTAGCAGGTAGACGTCAGAAGGCGTCATACACTTGAGCGAGTTGAAGCAGGATATCCAAGCCGCGTCCTGTATACACAATATATTCTTATTGTTCATTCAGGCGTTTCATGCACAAACTGTAAAAGTAGAACATTTTAGTCAGACTTTGGGCTGATGAGGGAGATTATCTATGAAGCAAGCCTTACACATAAATTGTATGTATTCAGTCAAGCAAGTGATAAAGTAAACATTTCAAGCGAGCGTTGCGTGTTTAGGTAGGTAGTTGCTTGAACTACAATTATTATAAAAAAGCTATGATAGTAAAACATTAATAAATAATTAAGGAACATATCTAAAATCAGTTGACAATTTAATACTAATTACCTCTAGATATAGTACACTTCAAGCCCTCAAAATGAATAAATAAATATTTTCAGAGAATTGCATATTGTTCACAGAAATTACATTTACCCGCACACAAATATCTTTCAATTCATTACCCAGTAAGGAATATATTGTGATCTACAGTAAATAATCAATGACCTAAATTCTCACTTATAACATTTAAAGGCTTACTGGAACTTATTGCTAACAGCGTTGAGCCTGTGGCCTCTGTGCTCAAAAAAACTTCATTAACATCAATTGCTGCAGATACACTTCATTAAACTAAGACCAAGAACATACAGCAAAACTCCAAAGATATCTCCAATACAGAATAGGAGATCATCAAGACAGACTAGTGGAGCATTTGTCATAAATATTTGCATTGAACGTGGATATTTGGCATTTGCTCCTGATTTTATTATTGATACAACATGAGAAATATTATTAGTCCAACTTTCAAGTAACAATAATTGGAGTTTCACTTGAAGCCTGGCACTGAATGTTTTAATACCTTAGGAGCCGTCCAGTTGAGCTTTGGGAACACGGCACCTCCGAGCTTCTGTATGGCCATCTGGATTTTATGTGAAAACTCTTCTAGGGCAGGTGCCTGTTGATGAAGGATTAGATGGAGTAAAACATGCTTTCAGTTGTAAGAAGGGGCTAAAATATGAGGGAACTTCAGTCACTTTATGTTAAAGTTTTAAATGAGGGACCAAAAAATGAAGGCAAAAGAAACCTTCAACAGTAGCATATAACAATGAGTGAAATTTATCATTTCCTCATCAACCAATCATAATTATGAACATCAACAAGAGTTCTGAGAGACTGAGTGGTGTAAATTGTTTTTCTTGAAATGAAAATAAAGTATGTAAATATCATGTGATAACTAATGCAGTTTATTGGTTTTGTTAATGTGGTGAACATTGTTATTCGAGTTGGTGCAGAACATATTGCGTACATTGGTGAGATCTGTGACTTCTGAGTTCAAAATAATGCATCCTGAACATAACCCAGATTTTTTTTTGTCGGGAAAACCGGCTCACCCAGAATGTGGCAATAATTGTATAGATTTTTCTAAGCAGTAAGCAAATCCCAATAATTTCAAGCATGGCATTCATGATTGTTTCCTACCTTACTAGTTTTTAGGACCTAATTTTAGTATATTTTTTTGTTAGCAATTAATTCAAATGAATGATAGGGCTGAATTAATGAGTAGGCCTCACAGTAGGGCTGAGAAGTTGTGGATGTGCAAGAAAACAATGTGTGCAAAATTCTAGGCTCCTAAGTAAACTTCTTCATGATTTGAGGGCAGTTTGAAATTTTCAAGAACATAAATAATAGCATACAAATGAAAACTTTTCCTAAAATTAAGATTGTCTTTTTGGAGGTCACAATGGGCAAAAATCATCATAAAGATAACTTCAAAATATATGTTCCAAGTTTCAAAGCAATACCTTATCATCTTTATTATTAGACAATCATAAAAAAGGTCAAGTATATTTATGTACATATTTCACAATTTTACCCAAAATAATAATATTGGTTAGTTGAGGGTAAAAAGTAATATACCTAATAAGTAAAAAGCATAATTTTATCATCTCTATTACCTATATATACACTATTTAAGATTTAATCTCCAGAGCTTGAATATTTCAATCTGTGTGTCTTCATGGTCAGAGGGTAACTCTAAAAATGAACAAAACTCCTATAGTTGTAACTTGAGTTTCCCAACTATTTTCAACCTATGTATTGAATTACAAATTAATTATAATTACCTATATAATAATTGATGGCAACACATTGATACCTTTGATACATATAAAATACCTATATAAAATTTTGGAGGATCAATCAAAACATCAAAAGAAATATGCTGCATGGCATATATATTTATAGAATATATTTTTGGTGGTTCTGAGTGGCTATGGGTTTGTTGCAGTAAATTAATATATTCGTGATGAGTAGAATAGACATTTTTGTTTGTAACACCATGAGTCTTTTCACAAAATTATTACGTTTCATTGTACTTAGATACTTCTTAGGTCGGCTCATTACTAGATAGCAACTTCTATTTCTCATGGGGGAAAGCTATTTTTTAGCAGTGTTTTCATTATGATAACTTGATTTTCCAAAATTTTGACTATGGATTATGTCTCGAAGGTATCAACACGTAGCCAGTGTTAATCATATAGGTCTAGTAGTTTGTATTTCAATATCTAGGTTGAAACTAATTAGGAGAGAGAGTTTTGATGCTATATGACTAGGCAATTACTTAAGTTACACTTATAGGAGTTTAGGTCATTTTAAGAGTAACCCTCTGACCATGAAGATGATAATATTATAGTTCTAGAAATTAAAACATGTATAAAAGAGATGATAAAATGTCAGTTTTTACCTATTGTGATCCTCAAGTAATCAAAATTATCATTTTGGGTAAAAATTAAAATTTACACGTAGTTATATGTATGCTTGACCCTCATATTTTCTTATGATTTTCTAATAATGAAGATAAAAAGGTAGAGCTTTGAAACTTGGAACATAGATTCTAAAGACGATGATTTTTTTATGATGATTTTTGCCCATTGTGACCTCTAAAAAGATTATCTAGGGTTTTAGAAAAATGTTTATGTATGTGATATTTTTCATATTTAAAAAAATATCAAATGACCCTCAAATCATGAAGAAATCAGACATGAATAAAATTTTGCACACATAATTTTTTGAGCATCCACAACTTTTCCACATTAATATGAAACTGAACTCTACAAAGTTGAAATAACGCTCCACCCTAATAGACATGGTAAAACACCATCAAGATACAAACATACCAAAAGCTTAATGTTCTGATTTTATGAGCCAAAACCATAGCAACCCCAACATTTTTGTTGTATGATGCAAGCCACACACCTTTGCACTAGCAGTGTCATCTTCATGCCAGTCCAATACCACCTCATCATCAGAATCATATGCCACAGGCTCCAATGGAGATTTGTTTTTAAGAGTAGTGGAAGGCTTGACATGTGTGTGAGCTGGCTTATCTTCATTACAGGAGAGGCTTGGAGATGCATGTGTACCACCCATATTACTGCTAGAACATGGTGTGGTACTGCTGCACTTGTCATCGCCGCGGTCTTGGGTAGAAGGAAGCACAATTGTGCCAGGGTCCAGCAAGTAGTCGAGTACATTTGAAGGTAATTCCAAGATCTCACTGAAAAATAAGCTTATAGTAATTGGATGCCATTTCTTTAATACCGGTGTTAAAAAATAATGCACAAAACCTTGAAAAAACAATTTACTTACAAATGATTCTTAAACTATAAATTAATTTGGATAAAAACATCTTGATTTCCTTGACCAAATACCCAGTGCTATGCACATAATAGGTACTTTATGTCAAAAAACTGTTAGGTATTCTACTTACCTAATAATAGTACATTTCTTAAATTTAGGATACCATTGAGAAAATTGGCAGCATAATACGTCATTTGAATCCATAATTTATAACTGAAAATGATTGGTAAAATGAATTAGATTTCACTAGAATTGATACTCTAAAACTGAAAAAACAAAGCAATTCATAAATTATTAATATTAACATCAAACACATACATATATGTAACTACACTGGTAACAGAAAGCTTCTTTATTCTAAATAATAATATATTGGATAGGAAATTTTTAGTTTGTGTCCTATTCTCACTCTGTGGACCAGAGAAGGGCTGCTAACCTGTGTGAGTAATCGCAAATCTACCTTTGTCTTGTGTACTGTGCTACCCTTTAATGTAAAACATCTCGTTCTAATTTACATATATTGTTGGTGTTCCTAAATATTTGCAGTATCCGAGTTAGTGAAACCAACCCTGATAAAGGACAGCCTTCATTACAGACTACCTACATAAACAATACAAATGCTAAACAAGTGGATAATCAAATATTAATAATTTGGATCCATTTAGTTAATTAAGGTTTCATCTACAATTTTTATTTTTTGTGGACTTTTTAGGAACAAAATTTATATTTATTTGAATTTGACATTTGATAGAAAAAAGGGGAATAACATCATTTATGTAGTGGCAAACAAAAGCACTCCTTAAATAAGGCAGTCATTACTGAAGTTGAGCTGCATAGAGTGCCCCTGGTTGCACTCCAGGTAGCAATCAGAAAGGTGCATTGGGAAGAATTTATATAACTGTAATGATAGTCCCACAGAGTGTAAGACTATTTTTATTAATATGAATTAACTATGAAGTAGGTTGAAATAATTAGGTAATAATAATCATAATAATATTGATAATAATAGTAATAATAATAATAAGTAAGTTAGTACAGCAATCCCTTGATTAACGCGGTTAAGAAATCCACGAGTTTTACCGTGTTCAGCAAAACCGCGCTAATCAAACTTAAGAATACATGGGAATAATTATAATGAATCCTCAAAAATAGCAAAGTTGCATAATAATTTTTTTTTCCACTAAAATTCATCATATTTTGCTTAGTTCAATTCATCATTCAAGCTTAGTCTCTAAAGTGATATTTTTACGTTTAAGGGTTCTCTTTTTGTCCATAATTATGACAGTAATTTATGAAGGAAAATTACGTAGTTTGATAAAAGTGAGCAGTAGATATGGCAGCGATCTTGACCAGTTGAAGGCTAACGAGTAACTAGAGCACCGGCATGGCGCACTTACCGGCAAACGTTGCCGAACTCGAACATTCGAGTTATGAACGAGACAAGACGCGGTTAAACCGACTCTGTAGTCAGCACGAGTGCCTAGGGAACGGGACCTTATTTAAAGAATTATTGGCTGAAATTCATAAAGTAACAACAGATAAAGTAACAACATTTGGCAAATTTTTCCAAAAGTCGTAACAAAAGTAACAACATAAGATCTAATAAGCAAAAAGTAACACTTTTGTTACAAACGTAACACCTCTGGCTAGAGGCGGGAAAATGATGCATTGCGAAAAAAAAGTCACGCTAATCAAAACTGGCACCGCATAGATTAAGGGTAGGTGGCAAATTTTTTTTCCGCGTTAATCAAAACAGCGGTATTCAAAACCGTGCTAATCAAGGGATTGCTGTATTGTGAACATGATTACAGAAATTTATTTTATTAGTCAAGTTACAGTAAGTAGCAACAGCTTCTACAATTGCCTTTCAAGTTTCTAGAGGGAAGGGACCTCCTCCAAGCAAGTTTTTAAGAGAGGGATTTACAGCATGTGTGTGCGCCAGATTGTTTCAGGCAACCCTATGGAGCGGACAGTGAATAAGCAGATGTTCTATTGTTTCAGCCCCGCACAAACAACAAGGACTGTCCAACAAGGTAAAGCGTGCAAGGTGTGAATTGACTAGCGCATGTCCCAGGCCGCGCGCAACCTGGCAAGGGCAGTTTCAACATTTCTATTACTGTTGGCCAGGGTTGGTAATTTTTGTTATTTATTTTTTTAAAATAAAAAATCACAAATCAATATTTTTTTCATGATTTTTTATATAATTTTCAGCTTTTTTTCTTCTTGAAATGTTATTTTTATATTGCAATTAGCCTACTAACAATAACAGTATATGGATGGCTAAAAAAGGCAGTTATTGCCTTCAAGAATGGCTAAAGTGGTGTTTACCACTAGTCATTACTTTGTATTGCTCAAGTCTATTCATTGACTTGTAAAGTTTGTATGGAGCAAGGTAATGAGCTAAATATTGACCATTTAACTGACTTCAATATACAACAACACTTCAGGAATGCAGATCTTCTAAACATTGAAGAGTCACAGAACAGATAGGTAGCTGATAGCACAGTCAACAGTGCACAGCACTATCAATAGATTTACCAGTTTTATGTTCTATGAATCTACCAGACTCTACCCCCTAAACACATGGACTAGTAGTGACTGAGTGACTGACTGCACTGTTCCAATTTGTTTCAGACCAAGAAACCAATACTAAACATAAACTGAACGACAACCAAACAAACCTCTAACGACTTGAAATGAGACTAATGTTATGAGAAAAGCTAACACTGTTTGAAAAGAACATGTACACAATTCAACCATTTTATTTCCATTCACTGCATTTAATTATTTTATATATAGTTTTATAATTGTTTTGTTTCTAGTTATAAATTCTCATATTTAAAGATTGAAATTAAATATATTAATTAGAATACTCATATTAGGGTGACAATCTTTCTAAGTGCCTAAAAGGTCAACACAACCTCAACCAACCCTTCTTACAGAAGCTAGCTAATACATGTAATCGTATAATGTAATTAGTATATAGCAAATAGTCACATAGTTAAAGACTCCTTATAGCCTTAAGGGGACCGGCTACCCCCCCAGAAAACTCCTACAGTTATCATCCGATCATCATGAAACTTCACATACATACGTAAAATGTAAAAAAAATAACATTTTGTTTGTATGAATTTTTCGAAAAATTGATAGAAAACGTGAAATTCATAGAAAACGGCTAAAAAGGGGTACTACAGAAAAAATTAATTTATATGTAATTAGTTAAAGAACTCTCCCACCCGCCTCCGTTTAAAGAGCCGTCATGAACGTAAATATTCACGTAGAGAGATGGCAGTGATACCATTGGAAAGAGGAGAATTCCAGCTTTAAGATGAGTATAAAAACCGGAAAACGACAAAATTGAAAATTTTAGGGTAGCCGGTCCCCTTAAAAGAATTAGCTAAGCTGCTAGCTATGTACAATGTATTGCAACATTTGATGCCTCTGTACCAATAACATACAATTCATTGGAATGAACACACACTAAAGGCATCAGGTTTATATTCCAATTTGTCATAGTACATTTATACTAAACCATGAATGACAATACCTCAAAATAAATTAAAGACTGCCACTCAATATATTTATATATACCTATATAAAATAAAAAAATCATGTTTTTTTCATTAAAAAAATCAAGTGATTTAATCAGTTTGATTTAATCATTGCCAACCCTGCTTGGAATGCTTGTAATTAATAAGATTCTCCTGTGTTTGGGAAATAAGTAGAGCCTTTGCTGCTCTACTTGTACAGACTGCATCGGCACATGCTTGGGTCCACCAAACCTTATTATCTTTGGCAGTTATGGCTTCCTTGCTTTGTGGGAATGCTTCAGTGCTAGCTGAGACTATATTTTCCACAAAGCTCTTAAGACTCTGGGGAAGATCAAGAGGAGAGTCATTATTAGCCTGAGGTAGGGCAGAATACCAGGTTGCCGAGGATCCTGCTTCAAACAACCATGCAGGTTGTGTAAGCTCCACTCTGATGAAGGTGAGGACAGGGTAATGGTCATTGCCCATGTCAGGTTCAGTAGAGGTAAAGGAAAGAGGCTGCAGTTTTGATGAAATGATGGTAAGATCAAGAGTAGAGAACGAGTTATGAAAGGTATTAAAATATGTGGGCAGGTCTGGAGGTGTGAGCAGGGCTAGTATTGGGTTATGAAGTAGGACCTCCATCAAGTTTCTACCAGTAGTGTTAGGTACCTTGGTTGGCTCCCACATGGGGTGGTGAGCATTGAAGTCTCTAACAACAATAGCTGAATGACCTAATTGTTGGAATTCATTAAAAGTAACAGGTTGATTAGGATTATATATACATATATTCAGGATAGGAGGAATGAGTTGTTCTTCAGGAACACCTTCAAACCCTGAACTTCCAGGGCACCAACAGGGGAAGGTTGGAGAGGTATTTCATGGAATGTGATGTCATTAGAGATTAGCATGGCCAAACCTTACCTCCACCTCTATGACGCCTGACCTCCATCTCTATGCTTGAATCCCATCAAACGGGGTAATAAGGGACAGTTTTGAGCATTTTTGTTAACAACTTCTTACCATGAAACATTTCATCAACAAGTTTGGGCTCATTTTAAAAATCTTTGTGAGGGCTATTGTATGGCATCTCCAGAAAAATTCCATATGCTATTTGTAAGGTGCTGGACGCAATATAAAAGCCACCCAAATTTTTCTGGGAACGGGGTAATAAGGGACACTTGAAATAAAATTTGATTTTAAAATATTTGAAGCATGCTGAGTGTACTCATTCATTACTAACAGTACTCTGAAGTCCTCCTCTACCTTTGTAGATGATATAAATGTAGAATAAATGACATTTACTGTGATTTTTATGTGTTTCTTTGATATGATATTACCTTATCCATACATTATAGTATTATTGATGTGATATTACCATATCCATGGACATGCCATTGAGCATTGACAACGACCTTGTCTACTGCAAGCTTCATATCAGTAGCCATATAGCACTTCTTCTGTATCTGTAAGCTTACAAGACGGCTTGTAATTTCACACAATTTTAATCAAGTCAAGTGATTTCACTATAACAAGAAAGATAATGAAAAACATACCTGAAACAGGAAGGAATATCTAAGTAACAACCATTATATCTTTTGGAGAAATAAATCATAGTTTAGTTTGCTTACTTTTCATTATTTGCTGCCCAGTGCTCAATTCTATTAATGATATTCTATGCACAATTATGTGATGACTGATGGTGCATAAATTTTTTGTAGAGTGAAATTTTTATCACTGA